CCTTCCTTCCTTCCTTCCTTCCTTCTTCTTTTCCCTCCTCTCTCCTTCCCTTCCTTCTCTCACCCTCCCACCCTTCCCTTCCTTCTCTCCCCTTCTCTTCGTACAGCATATTAACTTCTTCCTTCCTTATAGCTCCCTCTTCTTTCTTTCCCTCCCTCCCTTCTGCTGGGAGGGAGGAAAAAAAACCTCCGTCCGCCTCCCCCCCCCCCCGGTACTGGTAGCCCTCGACTTATGGCCACAATGGAGCCTCCCACATTTCTGTTGCTAAGCGAGACGGCGGACTTTTATTCCATTTCAACACCGTTCCTGCCGCACATTGTTAAGTGGATCGCTGCATTTGTCACACGGTTGTTAAGCGGGACCGGCTTCCCCACGGATTTAACTCGTCGGAAGGTCGCAAAAGGCTGCCATCGTCATAAATAGGAGTCAGCTGCCAAGGCTCTGAATTTTGGCCACGTGACTGTGAGGAACGCCAGCGCGATGGTCGTGAGGTGTGAAAAATGGTCAGAAGTCACGCGGAGGCTGCCGCCATGGTTGTTAAGGGTGAAAAATGGTCGTAAGTTGCTTTCTTTTAAGGCTGTAACTTCGACAGGTCACTAAATTAATTGTTGTAAGTCAAGGGCTGCCTCTACCAAGACCTGCCTCCGTTTTTTATTGTAAAATCCCCAAAAAGTATTTTTTTCCTGTTAGGAAAGGCTTTCCTGAGGGGAAAAAATTAAGGAATTGCCCAGAATTACGTTTGAAATTGGCGTTCTCCTCCGAGCGTTTACATATTTTTAATTTTTAAGCCAAGCCGTGGGCCGGTTCCAGAGCCAACAAGACCATTTCTCTTCTCCTTTTGGACTACGGGTGCTTTTAATACCCCCGGGTGGAATTTCAGTCTAAGCCAATGTCACAAGATACCACCACCCCCACCACCCCCCCTGGCTGTAAACACCAACGATCTGGAAAAAAGCAATGAAAAAACAAAGGAAGGAGAAAGAGAGAAGGGAGGTGAGGAAAAATTAAAAAAAGGAACCCTGGTTGAATTACTGAAAGGAACCTTGGTGGATTTTTGTCAAGCAGCTCTCAGATTCTGTGGAATTTCCTGGATATTGTAAATTACAGGTAAAGGTTTCCCTCGCACAGATGTGCTAGTTGTTCCCGACTCTAGGGGGCGGTGGTGCTCATCTCCGTTTCAAAGGCCAAAGAGCCAGCACTGTCCAAAGACGTCTCCGTGGTCATGCGGCCGGCATGACTCAACGCCGAAGGCGCACGGAAGGCTGTTCCCTTCCCACCAAAGGTGGCTCCCTGTTTTCCTACTTGCATTTTTTAACCTGCTTTCGAACTGCTAGGTGGGCAGAAGCTGGGACAAGTCACGGGGGCTCACTCCATTAAGCGGCACCAGGGATTCGAACCGCGGAACTGACGGCCTTTCTGATCGAGCTGCTCAGCGTCTTGGCCACGTCTAAAAGCCATACAGGCCTTTAGGACAGTGTTTCTCAACCTTGGCCACTTGAAGATGTCTGGATTTCAACTCCCAGAATTCCCCAGCCACTTGAAGATGTCTGGACTTCAACTCCCAGAATTCCCCAGCCAGCGA